GCACTGCGTCGATGCCCCGATCCCGCAAGGCGCAGAGGTTTAGAGCATCCTGCCCGGTCGATATGGCGAAGGTTCCCCCAAGAGGACGTTCCTCCAAACTCCACCCTGAAGTGGCAACTTGTCCCCTTAAACCTGCCCAAAAAAGGGTACCGAAAAGAGATACACACCCCATAAAAAGATTTGGGTTGTGTTTTCCTCTGTTTTGTTTGGGAAATGTTGGTCAGTCCCTCAAAAGTTCCATCACAGTTGCTGGGAAAAAAACAGCAGCTGGCGATCCAGGAATGTGTAGAAAAAGGCAACTAGGAAGACTGAAGGGTTTTCTCAAGGCATTCGGGTCCATTTATTGATCACAGTTTCTGTGGGTTGTACCTCCAACACCAAACAAACAGCCGACAAGATCCATTTTACGCGATCCCTTACTCTCTGCTCCATTGTCATAATCTTGGAACACGGGAGAAAGCGGGGCAAATCTGCCTTACGGTAGGGCAAATTCTCCAAAACGGGACATCTGCTTTTGGCTTAGCCGGGGGGATCCGCACCAACGCTCCAAGGGCTCCTCCAGGGATCCGATCCAGAGCTCGAAGCCGGTGGCTTCTTCCCTCACCACCTGGCGCAGGGCCATCTTCAGGCGGCCGAACCTCACCCCCCGGATCGAGTGGATGGGCTAAAAAAAAAGCGCCCGAACCTTACACGGCCTTCCCAGAAGGCATAAAGTCCAAGAGCTCAGGAAGTGAGTAAGTGGGACTGCCTTTTATGAGGTTGCAAAAAGCTCCCAAACCTTACATGGCCTTCCCAGAAAGCATACAGTTCCAACCTTTTTGGAGGTTGGACCCCCCAACATGGCTTCGGCTTTCCTTCACCACCAACCACAAGTGGGCACTGAGGCTCAAGAAAAGACAGACAGCAAATGCGGCAGTCTAGGTTTGATGTTCGTCAAACCCAGCGAAACTTGGCCCCAAGTGTTACAACCTCTCTTGGGAAGTCAAGGAGCGAAACTTGGCCTGAACCAGACGGAGAAGAAGAACACAGACGGCCGCTTCCCGAAGCCGGGTGTTCCCCCTCACCCCTTCGCTTTGCCAAGCCGATCATGTTGGCTGGCTCTGACTAGGTCCTCCAGTAGAGAGGTTAGAATCAGGGTGCCCTATATGTTTTTTCTGTAGTCTGTTTTAGTCGGGGAACCCTCCCCAAGAAAAGGGAAAAAGGGCACTACTGGGGGGACCTAGTAGATTGTCTGGTGCAGCCCCTTTCGTCTCTCGGTCCGGCAATGGTGGAAGGGCGACCGGGCTTTGAAAGACTGCCATGTTTTTTCTTCTTTTTTAGGTCGCCTGAGTCATGATCAAAGCCGATCGGTCTTAAACTGGTCTACCCAAATCCAATGTAAAGAAATGAAAAGGCGGCCGCACCCATTTCTGGCCGGGATCGTCCCTTGCTAACCATCATCCACCCGTTTTTCTTGTCGTTGTGACTCACCTGTCCACTTCCACTGCCGGAAGGGTGCCGGACTGAGGAGAGATCTCTCACCGAAATCACCTGCTGCCATCTGCTCTGCTTCCCCCCTTCCCCCCCCCCCCACGCCCCTGGCATCCAAAACGTGCACAGGTCCACCAGATCAGCAGTGAAAGAAAAGCTAGCCATCCTGCACTCGCTGTAGAGGAAACAAGAGAACGAGCTCTTCATGGTCTGAGCCTAACCCCGCATTTTGCAACGGCTGAAATTCCATGATACTCCCGGATGTAGGGATGCAATGTCAGCCTCGTCCTTTCAGCATGGACAAGAAAAGTTCTGCAACAGTTACAATTCCAAAAGCTGCGAGAGGAATTGGATCCCCGAGTCATAATAAGAGGGCCTACATCATGGTGAGCTCGCTTTGCCACAGTGTGGGCTCGCTATATCGGATCAGATTTCTGTGAATTCAAGTAACCAAAGTGGCCAGCAACCACGGAGCTGGCTGATAGGGGCTCACATTTAAGAGGGGCGTCCTTGCCTTTTGGGGTTTTGGGGGAGAACACCCCGAAGAGAACGCAAGGTCTTTTCGGGCTGATTGGTTGTCAACCCCCCCCCCCTCCGCCATAGGGAAGCATGGTATGTTTATGTAACCATTCCTCGTGCAACTCGGTCTGCCGATGGTCATGAACTCGGGCGTTGATCAATATTCCAGGCCCCCAAGTGACTTGGGTGACTTCTTTCATGTGGAGGGGGGGGAAAACACATCTCAGTGGCGAATTGTCCAAACCATGGTCATCCCATGTTTAGTGTTCCCCAAAAAAAAAGAAAACAAGGTGGTTTTCCACCCCATGGCCATCCGATGTTTCCCCCGGGAAAAAAAAAAAAAAGAAAAAAAGCAAAAAGTTGCGAATTTGCCATCCCATGGTCATCCCATGTTTACCCCCCCCCCGGAAAGCAAAACAGTCTGCCGTCCCCTTCCGGCCGGGCAGTCCTATCCGGCTCTTCTGCTCGAACCGCCTGCGCACGCGTCTCATGGCCACTGCGGTCACAGCTTCTCTCTCGTGCTGTGCTCTGGGTTGGTCAAAACACACGGGGCCCTTTCACGGCAGCACAAAAGGGGGGGTGGTGGGGGGAGGTGGGTGGTGGGGGGAGGTGGGTGGGGGGGGGGGAGGGTGGGGGGGGGGAGGTGGGTGGGGGGGGGGGGTGAGTGGGGGGGGGCAGAAATCAATTGAGGATCTTCCAAGAGTCCCATGGAGCACTTCCTGACATGAGTCATAATCAAAACCTGGTACTAAAATGGTCTACCCACCAAGTAAGGCACTAAGAAGGCGGATATCCACAGCTTTTTATGGCTGGGATTGTCCCTCACCAACCTCCATCTACCCGAATCGGTTTTGAGCAAGTGGCTCAAATGGTTCCTTGTCATCACCGACAGCCGATGCACGAAATCCACATTCAGCGCCTCCTGCTCCGACGCCTCCTGAGCGGTGAGAACGAGAACTCAGGGAGCAAGTGCTGAAGTGGGATCGATCCGCATACCACGACTTTCCAGACTTTTCCTTTGAACATCACCCCACAAAGGAGACGCAATCTCACGTGACGTTGCCAAAAGGTGGTGGTTGGGAAAGTTGCCCAAAGGTGCAAAGCATAGAAACTGCCCCAATCAAGGGGGCTTGACATATGGAATTCTGAAATCTGATGTGGCAATCCGGGGCCCTGTGATCTCCGACCCCCCACCTATGTTTGAAAGTTCACCCCACCCCGAAAGCCAAAAGGCAAGACAGAAAATGTAAAAACGGAGCTTTGGCAATGAAAAAAACGTCGAACCATTTGAGGCTGCGACTTTGCTGGACGCTTGTTTTAGTTGAAACATGTTGGTGGTGACAACAGACTATTGGTCCTTTCTGGTTGTGCATGAAAGTAGATAGCAACATGAACAAACCCCAGCTATTCATCTGGGTTTGTGTCCCTGGTGGGGACTCCCACACCACTTTTCGAACAGCCCCTCCCGCCAGGAAGCCAAACCCCCCCCCTCGAGGCGCCTCCCGGTGCTGCTTGGCGCGGTCCATCTCTCGCTTCGCCCCCAGCTCCTGCAGCAGAGCCTCCAACGAGGCCCGCAGCCTCGGGCCAAGCGCCGAGCGCCGAGCGGGGCGAGGGGCGAGCCTGGTGCCCCAAACAAATTGGGCGGTTTCTCCTCGGGCGTCCCTTCAAAACCAACGAAAAAGGGGGGGTATCTTCTTTGGGGGGAAGAGTTTCCTCGTGGCCCTTAAAACCCAGGAAACATGGGCTACCCTCAAAACAAGACACGTGTCCTTTTCTTGCTCTTTGTGCTCTTTGTGCTCTTTGTGCTCTTTGTGCTCTTTAGCCGGAAGACCTTTCAGGCTGTTGCTAAGGGAACCCAAAGGAAAGCCACCAATTGCACTCGGTTCCGGGGCTCCGGTCTGGGCGGCTCGCTCTTGGCCATCCAGCAGCGCCATTAGATTCGACGCGACAACCGAGCCCCAGCCCCAAGTTTTTTCGGCCCGAGCTGCACAGCTGGGATCGTGCTTGGACTGAGAAATGGACTGGGCCCAGGCAAAAACTTGCTTGATATTTTTGTTGGCTTGCATTCTGATGAAGGCTGACTCTGAAAAGAATCGCTTTGATAGCTGTCGGCACTTTTGAAGAGAGCGTGCGGCGTGCACGAGCAGGCTGCGAGTCACTCGTGCAAGCTCCAGGGGGTGGCAGCAGAACTCCATCCAAGGGACCCCCCCTTCAGCCCATATGTATCAGTCATCTCTATGAGGTTCATGCTTGCGGTCATGGGGCATGTTCCCTTACCCTTCTTGAAGTAGCTGGAAGGCACCTCAAACCCTCTGTCAGCTGCCATGCGAACGGAAGTGTCATCTCTGTGTGGATTCATGTGTGCCACTACCAAACCATAGACAAAACCAGAAATTTTGACCGAAATGGTACCGCAACCAACACCAATTAACGTTTGGTTCTGCCAGCATGGTTAAAAAGGGTTGGTATAGCAACTAACTATATCCCCCACTAGAGCAGGTAGATGGGCATAAGACCAAGCGGGACCCTTCTGTTTCTACCCGAACGAACCGATCAAAAGGACACCTATGCTCCTAACATTCAACTTCCCACCATCTGGTGGCTTTGGGGGACGTTGGGGGGTGTGGCTTCAAAAGGGTTCAAAACCTCAGTTCCCACCACTCCAAGTGGGAAGCTGAAACATGATCCGAGTTCGCATTAGTAGTTTCCCATTTACCCCAGCTTCTTGTAGAGGGAAATGGGAAACTCCCTAAATTCAGCTTCCCTCTAATTGGTGGCTTGGCTAGGTTTGGTGGTTAAGGACAGCCTTCCCGTTTACCCTCTCCAAGAACCAGGGCTTCAAATCCACTTGTAGAGTTCCCACCCCTCCAAACCAAAAAATAGAAAAGGCAAACGGCGACCCCGGAGCCGGTTGGCCTCGGCGCTCGCCGAGGAGAAAAACAAACCAACAACAATCAAAACAAGAGAAAACAAAACCTCCCCCCCCAAAAAAAAAAAAAAGACGCGCTCGCCTGATCCAGTTGGGCCTGTCCGGCTCCAGGCCCTCAGGGCAGGGCCCGATGGCGGACACCTCCTGGAGCGGGGTGGGGGGGGGTTCATGGTGACCCCCCCAGAAAAAATCAACCCCAGTTTATGAACTGGGGGTGCTTCTCGGGTGAAATGTGCTTGGAATCAGACCACTTTTGCTGGCCCTGTATTATTTGTTCAGAAGCATCCACTTGGTACCAAAGCGCCCTCCAAGGGAAACATGCGCGCGGCTACCCTTTCTTGTGTTGGCAAACATTTGACTGGGCATCCAATTCTTAGGCCAGCCTTTTGACCCACTTTGGACGTTGCTGTCCGCTGTCCAGTCCTCGGACTCCACGCCACACGCCGGCAGGGCGATGAAATGCCTCGCGCGTCTTCTTTTTTGTCGCTTTTAGCGACGCGGGGCGGTTCGGCCCCCACGTTAATTGTTTTTGTTGTTTGCTTTAAATTATTAGTATTGGTTCTTCTTCTCGGGGATGGCGGAAAGGGCGCAAAAACAAACAAACAAAAAGGAGATAACCCCCCCCAAACTGGTAGGGTTCCTTTGGGGTTGTTAAAGAAGAATCAGTTTAACAAGGGTACCTCAAAGATGTTTTGGTCCAAACGCCCAGCGCGTTTTGATAAGGAAAAAAACAACTCTGAGGCCACTGCCACATGCATGCGAGCAGGTGTGCCAGGAACACAATGTTGATGATGAGCCTCACCTCGGTGTACCAAACGGGGTGTGTCTTTTGTGTTAAAATGACGGTGTCAGCCCACCCTGAACCACCCCCAAACCAACCCTAAGCCCCCCCAAACCCACCCCCAAACCATCCTAAACCCACTCCAAACCCTAACCCACCCAAAACAAACCACCACCTAGCGGAATACCAACTCGAAAGACCGCCCAAATTTTGAAGGTCCGCAAACTGGACATAGACCACGGCCAGCAATCGAAACCCGGCCATCGAAAAAACTTCGCTCGGTTTGAGGCAGGTACCATTTTTTGCGGTGGTAAAGGGAAAGCAAAAGAACAACTCCTGTTTGTTTTTGTTGGACCAGCAAGTTGTACTGCAAAAATACATTTCTATGACTTGTTTTCAATCATCCTATAAACCAAAAGGACCAATTTTATAGCAACCAATGTCCATCTCTTCCTCTTCCATCACCCAAATCGACCACGACCCCCATTTTCTGACAGGACCCCCCCAAAAAAAGCCTCACGACGCGCTGTCCACTCCGGCCCGCGCCAGACTTGGCCCCCGGCCATGCGGATCACCGCGGGCTTCAGGTGGAGCTTCTCCTCCATGATCACCAAAAACCTCCGATACCGTGGAGAAAGAGCGGCGCGGGGAAAAAACAAAAAAACATGTAAGGAAAAGCCCTCTTCTGGCCGTGGGTCAAAAATAGGGTGACCCCAGAATGGCTTGCCCTGGTAGATGGAAAGTGTTTCACCCTGGTTAAGGAAGCCATCTTCTCAAGCTTTCGGGGGGGGGGGGGGGGGGTCAAAAATTTAATTGAATTTTTGGTGGAGGGCGCCTGGGCTTTAAGGGAAAGTTACAAGGAGGCCACAAATTTGGGGCCCAAACCTCAAAGACACGAGTCCAGTCCGAAGCCAATCCGACACGGCTGTTCTCCATTTGAACCGAAGAACAAGCTAAACTGGAGACCTCAAGACGGCAAAACCGACCTAGGTTCGGTTTGAGACAAGCCAAGAAAGGAACCTTGGGAAAATTCAAGGTGAGACCTTGACTTTTGGCTTGTGGGTTTGAATGAGTCTCGCCACAAATTACTTTGACCACACCTGGCATACGAATGCTTTTTTTGAGGCTACAGTTTTCGGGCTACTTCAAAGTGAAACCGAAAGGAGAACCACTACAGGTCCAAGTTCCTAAGTTCCTACCCTCCCTCCCACTACCATGGCAACTGAAAGGGACCCGGTCCCTTCAAAAGGAATCTAATCTTCCAGGTACCTCCCCAGTGCCATGTTAGTGGGAGGGAAATGGGTGAATTCTCACCTACCAACCAGTGGGATCCCATTTCAGGGGGGCTGGGAAAGAGGGAATTCCGGGAGGGAGGGAGCCCTGATTTTGGGCCCCAAGTGAGGCCTTTCTCTTGGGCTCCCTCCCCCCTCCTCTCCCTCCTCTCCCGCCCCACCATTGGTACCGCCCAGCCCATGACCACACCTCTTGAGCACCTTTTTCCGGCCTGTTGAGCTTGAAGAGGCGGATCAGCTTCGCCAGCCGCACCTGGGACAGGAGGGAGGGGTCTGGATGGCAACCGCTCGAGGCCGCGGCTCGGGGATGGCTTTTTGGGAGGCGGACAAAAGGAGCCTGTCTTATGACACATTGCGGCCGGAACTGAGAAAGATTCCCCCAAGAAACGAGCGAGGGCCCGATTGAACTAGGAAGCCATATTGGCCTTCGGCTTCGGTGTCATTCTTGGATATTCCAAAAACCACCCCACGCCCCCGACTTTCTCTGCGTCCAGTTTTACAGGGGCTCGCTCGCAGCTTGGGGCACTGGCCAGTCGGACAAACTTCATGAGCTTTACGGACCTGGCGAGTGGAACCCGACCGCTTATACTGCGTCCTCTCTATATGCACCAGGAGGAAGGGAGGAGGGAGAGGAGGAAACTCAACTCGAAATAGGAAACGTGGGTGATGGATGTTCGAGCCATCCTAAGAGGGAAATGTGAAGAATCTGAATAGATCTCGCCCCACTAAGACTGAACACCTGGCCGGCGTTCCTTTCAGAAAGTTTCACCAGTGTTTGTTGGTCGGACAGTGTATAAACTCCCCCGAAACCCCCAAACCAAGCAGAAACCCAGCAGGGGGAATGATCCCTATAAACCATCCATCCACGGTTTCCTTTCAGGGAATCCCCATGCAGGTTCCTTCCCCTTCTCCTTGGGTCCTTCCCTACCTATCGCACCAGCAAGCAAAGGCCAGGCCTCATCCCAGAGCTGCTTTGACCAGTGAGCACCTGAGGCTGAGCAAAAAACAGAACTCTGCAAGCATAGGTGGGCTTTTGGAACAATAGATGGCCCTGGAAAATAAACCCCATCTAAACCAGCGCCTTATTCTTAACCAAACTAACCAAAGGACACCTATGCCTGGGCTGGGTTTGGAATCCGTTTTCATTGGACCGTCAAACGGGGCCTCCCTTTCCTCCCTGCAGGGCCCAACAGCGTCTCGCCTTTCGCCTTGCCACCTGGGATCCGCATTGGAAAAAACTCCTGGGGCCTTTGGTCTTGGCTTCCGAACCCCACCAAACTCGCAAGGGGCGGTCCATGTTATGACAAACTGTTTTTTTTGTGTCACAACAAGCATCACAACATGTTTGTTGCTACATTATTGACGTTGTCCCCCTGTTGTTTTCCAACCAACACAAATCAGCGGCTCGAATTCTCGCATTCTCCGGCGCCTGAACAATCAAATCGATGGGGAACCAGGACAACAGGTCGAAGAGGAAGTAGGTCATGCAGTACCTCAGCGCCACCCTTCAGCTTTGCACATCAAGCGGACATGAGACAAGGGGAGAGGGGGGGAAGGTTTCGGCCCGGGCCTTTTGGCGATTTTCTCCCAGTCGGTGACCAACACATCCTGGCAAGCAAGGCGATCTCAAGGGTTGACTGTACTCGACATATGCGAAAGGCAGTGCTTCGGAAATGGACATGTGTCGAACATGTCGGGATTTGTTCACCCCGAAAAAAGAAGAAGAAGAAGAAAACGAAAAAAAGTGGCGAAACGAGCTCCAGCAAGGCTTACCGTTAAACCCTTCCGTGTTTTTTTTTCCACGCGGCGCGACCACTTGCCCAGGAAAATCGGCGCAGAAATCGTCCTCCACGAAGAAGCCGGTGCGGAAGCACAGGACCGTGTCCACCTCGAGGTCTTTTTCATGTTGGGAAACGCTTCGAGCAGCTCTCAGCCCAAAAAAGTATCGGGCCACATCGCATAGAACTCGGACCCGCGCACCCGCCCCAAAGAATTGGGACCCCCAACAAAAAAGCAAAAGGAAGCGAGTATCCTTTTGGTTCCCCTTCAAAAAATGTGTTTAAAAAAACGGACCAAACAAAACGAGGGAACAACCACACGCGCCACCCCCCCCAAAAGGTTGGACCACCCCCCCGACAAAAAAAGAACAAAACGAGGGAACAACTCCCACATCCGGCGTCGACAAGTCTCCGGCCGCGAAAATCACGTCCACGCTGTACTCGAAAGCCAACGCCACGCCCCGCGCCTCCTATGTGTGGGGCGCGGAAAACACCCCAGCAATGGTCGGAGGGGGTTTCCCGATGGCTGGTTTCCCTTTGGCCTCTCTTGCAAAAGAATCTAAAACAATTATGACAACAATACCAAAACACACATACCAAAGTTGGAAGAAGAAAAGACACTTACCAAATCTGCGGTTCGAGCAATTCATTGTAAACGCAAGGGTCTTTCTTTCTTTGGTTGTACCCCTTTTTGGTTGGTAAGAGGAAAATGAATCGGAAAACACCATTGTCGGGGTGGAAAAAAAAAACAAAAACATTTGGCCTATCGTGTAAACAGAAAAAGAAAAAAAACAGTGCGTCGCCGTCGCCGCAAGCGGGTAATTCCCGAACTATCGCACGGTAGGTGGGGTGGCAAGGGGATCCTCCCAAAGGCCAGTAATTATTCAAAAAGTTGCGATGATATCACCAGATGAAAAAAGACAAGTGAGGAGGTCTACGGGAAATTGCATGGTCGGATTTTTGTCCACCATCTTGGAGGGTGTTCTAATTGTTGAACAGCCAGAGGGCATGAAGAATGTCTGGCCATATCTTTGGCTTTCTCGCTCCTTGTTCGTCGTCATCCATTCTTTCGGCAATCAAAGTCGTGCTCGTCTGGGTTTTTTTTACGAGCCATTCCCTAGGAATCGGTGTCCAGAGAGGAAGTTCGGAGACTTGCTATTTCAAGGGTAAATACTAAGCTTAAAACATAGTCGGAATGTCTTGTTCGACTTGACGTGTGTTTCTTTCAGAA